ACCCCCAACATTCTGTGATTCTGTGAAATACGGTCCTGAAATGCTGCCTCTTTGTGGGAGTTACGTCCTGCTGCAAGGCACTGATTGATGGTGCCGCGCGGGATAATTTATTAGTTGCACCGCCTTGTAAAAATACTCACGGCCATTGGGTATTTGGCTCTGCCTCTGCTTGCTTGCTGGAGAGAAGCCAGTTTTGAGAAGCAACTTGATGGTGATGGAACAGGGAGATGTTGGTTGGAGAGGCAACAACAGGTGGCATTTACTTAATAATATAAATTAATGTGATGGGTCACGTGCAATTGAATTCAGATGCTGTGGAATTTTTTCTTACGGTCTCTCTCCCTCTCTTCATTTCAGTTCTTGGCCATTATCCTGATTATCTTTATTGCAGAAGTAGCCGCTTTTGTCCTGGGATTCGTTTACAGGGAAAAGGTAAGCAAAGAATTAGCATCTCTGGACTAACAGAAAGGTAAAAAATAGATGTATTGTGTTGTTAGAGCATTCCAATATGTCCAGTTTTCTTGCACTTCCTCCCTTAACCTGCAATCTGCAGAGCAAGTGGGGGTGGGAATGTTGCCTGATTTTCATTTAAGTGTGACCTGCATTTTATATAAGATTGTTTGATTTTTTTAGTGATTTGGTTTTTTGTCCTGTGTTGGTTTTCATTTTTCCTCACTTTGAGATACAGATTTTTTTTTTTTGCGCTAGATAAAATTCTGAGCTCTTGTGTTAAAAAAAAAAAAACATTTGTGCTTTCTTTTTCCTCCCCCTCTAAATAGGTAAAAACTGATGTTCAAGGCACAATGCACTCAGTCTTTGAGAGGTATGATGGGAAAAATCCAGAGTCTACTGTTGTGGATTACTTGCAAGAGCAGGTAAGAAAACATTTAAATTGCCTTGAGAATTATTTAGACAAGAACAATCGGGTCTTGAACAAGGAATTTGGGACTGGAAGGTCAGAATCAGATGGTTGGTTCCTGGAATTTGGTTCGGCAGTGGTGTTTAGCATCTGATTCTCCAAGGCGATTGAGGGATGTTTAACTCAACAGGTTCATATCTACTCATACATCCCCGTAACTATCCTGTGTTTGGCAGCTTCATTGTTGCGGGGTCAAGAACTACAGCGACTGGACAAGCACGCCGTGGTTTAATTCCACCGGCAACAACAGCGTCCCTCTGAGCTGCTGCAGGCAGGACACGAAGAACTGCACGGGGCGTCTGGATCAGCCGCAAGAACTCAACACGCAGGTGAAGACGAAGGGCGCAGTTGCACAGCTGGGCCACGATCAGTCTCTGAACCAAGCAGAACCAGTGAGGAAACCACTTCAGGCAGGGTTTAGGGATAAATTCAATCAAATTTTTGCAGCAGTTTGTCCACCAAGCCTTTTTCTTGCCACTCTTTTCCTCTAGTTAACTTCCTTCTCATGTCATTCTATAAAAGCTTGAGAGAGAGAAGGAGGGGCACCAGTCTGGATCTTTGTCTGTCTTCTGGTAATAACTCCATTTCATGTTGTTGCAGAAGACACACGACCAGGCCAGAGCACTAGCTGTGGGCATGTAGATTTTTTTCATACATACCTGGGGTAGAAGAGACTCTTCCAGGATTGACCATGCTGAATCTGGAGAACTGCATACCTGGTTCTTCAGTCAGGGGGACAAATCGGTAAGAAAACTTTTCTAGATACCATTGATGGCCTTCTGGGTCTGAGTTTTGGGCACTTTAAGTGACCTGAGCTAGAGGAGATCGAGAAGCAGCAAATGTCGAAGAATTGCAGTTTGTTCCGTGCCTCTCTTCAAGTAGAATGACAACCCATCAGGTGTGGAAGATAAGAAAGGAAGCCCTCCGGTCCATAGTGCTTGATTAGGTCTTATAAAATCCTGCTTTCTTTGAAGGCTTGGAGAGGAGGAAAAAAAAAATAATCTGAATTAATGTCTTTTTAAACTTGTTTTCACCTCTCTCTTTCACGGCAGGGCTGTGCAGAGGAGCTGGAGTTGGGGGTTCAGAGCGTTTTCAGCTATGCCATGCTTGTCATTCTGGGGTTTGCCATTGTTAAGGTAAATGTTTCTAGCTCTTCCCTCGCGGAAAATAATGCTGTTTGCCCATTGATTTGGAGGCTTTTTCTTCTACTGTGTCCTGTTAGCCTACATGCTTTTTCTGGCTCTGAAGTAGACCCAGTCCTCTGTTCCTCATTTATTTTCTCCCAACTGTATTCATTTAATCTGCCTGAGAGTAAAAGGAGGGTTCAGAAAAATTAGCAGGGCATTTGGGATGGCAAATCAGTGCGGAATCCATCGTGATCATTTGGTAGGAGGAACAAAATCTAGGTGTGCCGAGAGGCTTAGATACAGAAATGTTTATTAAAACAACCAGCTTTTTATCTTTAGCTGGGATTTCAAAAACTGGCTCATTAAAGTTTGTTTTTTAGATATAACCCAATGCGTCCTGTGCTTGGAGAACTGGAATCAAAACAGACTAGATATACGACTAGGAATGAGTACGACTGAATTAAATGAAATGGGGTGAAAACGTGGGGGTGAAAACTAGATTTGAAAAGCCCTGATGGAAAACCCCTCGCAAAGAAATGCCTACACAGCTTTGTAAAGATTTGACCCATAAATTATAGTTTCTCATTGTTCCTGTTCTCCAAGATCAATAACCTGTTCTTTGTCGAGAGAGGTTTGAACCATTTAATAACAGCAAAGTGGTTTTTCTTTGACTCTCTGCTCTCTGTAAAAGAACGGTTGAGCCAGACACCTCACTCTTCAACTCAACGCAGAAGCCAGAGCCTGTCCAGATGTCATCTCAGGACTGGGCTTGACTTAGTTAAACTTTCCTTTTCTTAATTTTGGCCCTAGCAGAGAGGTGATTGTTTGACCTCATGGGCTTAAATTGCTCAGTGACATCACATCCATCATTTCACTTCGCCCTGTAAAAGTGATGAGTTCTACGCTCCCGTTACACATCCCATGACTTCTTGTGATGAACCTTCCCATCACAATCTCTCCTGTGATCATCTCCAAAGATTGGCTTGGCCTTTGACACTGTCCCCCACAACATCCTTATGGCTGAGCTGGCTGCCCATGGCTTGGATGGGTGAAACACTGGCTGGATGGCCGGGCCCGAAGAGTTGCGGTCAACGGAGTTAAATCCAGTTGGCGGCAGGTCACGAGTGGTGTCCCTCAGGGCTCGGTGCTGGGACCGCTGCTGTTCAACATATTCATCAACGATCTCGATGAGGGGATTGAGTGCACCCTCAGCAAGTTTGCAGATGGCACCAAGCTGGGATGGAGTGTTGATGTGCTGGAGGGTAGAAAGGCTCTGCAGAGGGACCTGGACAGACTGGATCGATGGGCCCAGGCCAACTGTATGAAATTCAAGAGAGACAAGTGTAGGATCCTGCGTTTTGGTCACGGCAACCCCAGGCAACGCTAC